CTGTGTCCATCCCTCCATGCACTCCTGCCCCCTGAGCTGTCTCCCTGTGCATAAACAGCCCTTCATTCCCCCATGATTGTTCTCTCCAAGGAGTATATATACCTCAGGTAAATGTTCAACTCATATGCCTGTCTTTTGTTTGGCTCGAAGCCATGGGTGTGGGTTCAATTCCAGACCTGAAAGGCAGCTAGGAGCCATAGTCTCAGGGATCCCACCAGGCTCTATCAGACCAGCAAACCTGGTCCCTCCCCCACCTTTTATTTTTCTCCATATGATTTTGAGTTTTGTTCCACATTGTTCCCCCTCTCTATCCAGGATCTCCTACATAGATCCCCCTCTAAGTGGTTGACAGTGGTAGCCGGGCACCATCTAGTTCTTCTGGTCTCATAATCATATAGGCTGCAAATCGCATGGTGTGCCAGTTGCTAGGACTAATTGTTTCCATGAATCTTAGGTTTTCGTATTCTTCTTTGCTCTGGACAAGGAGAGACCCATCATTGCATCTAGATGGCTGCTTGCAAGCTCTTAAGATCCCAGTTGCTACTCGCCAAAGTAGGAAGTGGAACAATGTTTTGTGTAGTATGTTATGCCAATTAAGCTTGATGTCCCTACGACTATGGTCCAGAGCCCACAGGTTAAACTACTTGGTCCCTCTTTCTATGATTTTCTGTTATCTTGTTTAAGAAATTTTCCCTTCATTTTTATTATAATAACTATGGGATTTTATCAATGACTTTTCACAATTGAAAGATAATTGTTGATATAACCATATGGTCTTTCTCCTTTTAGCTATTACAGCTCTGAAGATTTCACTTGAAACTCTTATGAATTGATATAAAGATACTTTTTGGAAAGATAACATTTTAAGCTGTCAACAGCCAATTATCCTTAGTCTGACTGAAAACACAGAAATCAGGAGGGTAGGGTGGAGGCAAAAACAGAGCATCAAAGGCACAAAAAGATTCAGACTAGGGACGACCCAACTGGCTCTTTACCAGGGCTTCAAACTATTTCATTCTAGTTCAACCCTCTGCTGAGAATTTGCATTTCCACCTCAGATATACTGATTCAAAATCTACATTCTCACAAGAGCAGTGGGAGGTCTGGTGGCATAAGGCTTCTGGCCTTGACTGCTGACCAGAAGGCTGATGGTTCAAACCCACCAGCCCCTCCTCGGAGGGAAGAATGGGCAATCTACTTCCGTAGAGATACTGCCTCAGAAATCCAAATAAGGGTCGCTATGAGTCCGGACCGACTAGATGGCAGTAAGTGGTTTTTTGGCTTGGTTAACAAAAGCAGCAGGGGGTCAAACTGGAATGAACTGGTTGGAAACACTACTCTTAACTGCCCACACACAGATTGCAGGTCTGGTAGCATAGTGCCTAAGGCATTTGACTGCTAACTAGAAGGCTGGCAGTTCAAACCCACCAGCCACTCCTCAGAAGGAAAGTTGGGCAATCTACTTCCATAGTGATACCGCCTCAGAAACCCGAGGAGGGGCTACTATGAGTAGGATCTGACTCCACGGAATTGAGTTTGGTTGTCTTTTTTTTAAATTAAAATAGATGACTCCTGAAATTTCCTCTTTGACCTCTGCTTATGCTATGAGCAGCCTAGGAATACCCTTCTAAGCCCAATCTCAGCTGGTAGAAATCTACCCATTCTTTAAGATTCAAATTAAATGTTACCTGATCCTGAGACTTCTCAGAACTTCCAGATCCTCCACTTCCCAAGTCCCTACACCTTATTATTTCTTATGAAGCCCATTCTGGCAGGAATTACTTTTTTAATCTCTGTAGTCCCAGTGCCTAGAAGAGTGACTAGCATCCAGTGGGTGTTCAGTAAATGCTAAATGAAGCACTAACGGAATGTGCAGTCGGCTGCCACTCTTTTTATTCTGACTGTCCTCCCCGCCCTACGAGGACTGAAGACACCTTATCAGCCAGGGTCCTGCAGGGTGGACTCCATCTCGGCAGAGGGCATCCAAGACCCCTCACCAGCCCCGGAAGCCAGGCTGCCTGCAATGGGAAGACTACACTTCCCAGCGATCCCAGGGAAAAGCGAAAACCCTTTGGCTTTGACAGCCGCCACCACAAGTCTTTCCGCCTCCCCAGCCTGCCTGGGAGCTGGGAGCTGTATTATGGTGGCCTGAGCAGCAAACGCAGCAGCAGGAGCCCGGAGCCCCCTGCCCCTTCCCACCACCCTGCAGAGCCCACCAGGAGGACAAGGAAAGCAGCCGCTGCCAATCTGCCATGCCCGCCCCTCCCAGCCCCCAGAGGGGCCCGAGCCACCCTCTCCCAGATGACTGCTGAGGCTGGACGCCGCCGTCTCGATGTAGCGGGGTCGAGGCTCCTTTTCTCTCTCTCCTCCTCTCTGCCTCTGCGGATTTTTCCTGCCCGCTAGCCACAGCCTGCGGGGACTGGCTGAGGGGCCTGCAGGCTCTGAAGTCCTGATGCCTCAAAGCTCACTTTTCTGAGGAGCCGCGGTCAACAGCACCCAGAGTTGAGGGTAGGCAGCAGTGACCGACGTGGGCCAGAGAAACCCCAACGGGTCCGCAGGCCAGGCGACTATGGCTCCGGCCTTACCCTGGCTCCTGCTGTGGGTGGGCTCAGGAGTGCTCCCCGCCCACTGCACCCCACACGGCATTCGGCTGCCTTTGCGGAGCGGGGTGGGGGGAGCCCCCCTGGGGCTACGGCTGCCCCGGGACACCGATGAGGAGCTGGAGGAGCCCAGCCAGAGGGGCAGCTTTGTGGAGATGGTGGACAACCTAAGGGGCAAGTCGGGCCAGGGCTACTACGTGGAGATGACGGTGGGCAGTCCCCCACAGACGGTAAGGACGCCAGCTCTCATGCTACCCCTTAATTCCCCAATCAGTGGAAGATGGCAGGGTGGGAATACAGCTTGCTGGTCCCCTGCTAAAATAGGCCAGAAGGTGCTGGCAGTAACTTTAGCCAGGAGGGACACCCACACGCCCGCCCAAACCATTCCTCAGGGCCTGATCAGCAGAAGTCATCCCAAAGCTCCCCTTTCCCATCTCCCTACTCCTGACTGTCTTCCCAATCCCCCTTGTCCTGCCCACCCTTCTACTCCAGTCTTACACAGATACCCTTCTATAAGGATGACGGGAAAGAGAATTACTCTAGTGGTGGGAACTTGACTTGGGTAGAGGGGTCCAGGACAAAGAGTGCTATGAACAGGTGTCAGCTGCCCTCTGATGCTGGCCAACTCAGTCTCTCGAATCCCACCTCTTGGAATCTTGCTCATTCAACCCTCTCCCCTCCTCTAGTCTTCTGGTCAGTCTAGGGTTCAGACCATCACTCCCAGCACCTTAAAGACCAATGATTCCTAGGCACATGTTGAACCAGTCCCTTTCTCCTACTGTCTGAGCTGCCACAGGGACAGCAAATCAAGTTGTGAGATCCCCCTGACCTCTGAAACGTAGGACTCTTGCCTTCTCCTACTCCCTCCCTCCTCTTCCTCTCTTTCTCTCTCTCCCCTTCACAGGCTGCACTCAGCCCCTCCCCTATCCCATGCCCTCTGAGCACCAGCCAGAGGGGAACTGAACTGAGCTTGGGGAAAGGACAAATTGTAGGCAGGGAGCCAAACCCCCTTCTAAGAATGGTACTCCTTCCACGAACTGATAGGCACTACATGTTTGGGAGGAGGGATGAGAGAGATGGAGAAAGCACTGGCAGCTCTCCCCATCCTTCCTGAAAATCCTCCAAGGTGGCTGGTGGAGACTATGTCCTCTGAACCTCTGTGGCAGCTGTGGGAGTGAAGGCATGAGCAGTCTTCTGTATGTGTGTGTGTGGAGGGGGTGCGGTTGCTGTGTCGGACCTCTGTGTGCATTTGCCTCCTCTGTGGGTGAGTCTGGGTAGGGTGGCGGTATGGTTCTATGTATACTGGTGTGTGTCACCTTGAATCTGAGACTGAGACTGTACATCTCTGTGAGCCACCCCTCCTCCAGTATCTGTGTCTGGGAAGCCTGTCTTTGGGAGGGAAGGTAGGAGTGTTTTTGTGTTGGGGGAACAGCTACTCTTCCCTGACTGCTCAGACAGCTCTTCCACTGGGTCTGGGAGACGTGGATAGTTCTACCTCTCAATTACCTGACCAGATGTGAGCCTTCCTAGGTCCACACCACCCAGGCCTAACTCCTCTCTGATCTAAGGCCCCAGTGTCCCTCCCCCACTTTACCCCTCCTTTTTGCTGTGTACTGTGACTCCTCCAGAAACAGTCTCTAATTGGTGTGTGGAGCCAGGACAGAGCCTGAATCCAGACCCCTAGCAGCCTGAGCCACAGGGAGCAGGGGGATGCAGAACTCTGGGATCGACTCCCATTTCTGCTACTGATGTGCTATGCAAACTGTTCACAAACTCTACGACATGGATTCAGAATAGGGCTGCAGAACCAACAAGGGCTTTGGGGTCAGACATTAGGAGTCCCAGCTCTGCCACTCCCAGCTTTTCCTTTTCCCAGCTGTGTGGCTTCTCTCAAGCTTTTCCTTATCTTTAAAATGAGTGAAATGAGATCTCCTTGGCAAGGTTACTGTGAAGATTAAATGACAGTAGGTGAATAGGAACCCTACTGGTACAGTGGTTAAGCACATAGCTGCTAAACAAAAGGTCAGTGGTTCAAACCCACACCAGCCGCTCCATAGGAGAAAGATCTATCAGTCTGTTTCCATAAAGCTTATATCCTTGGAAACCAGTTCTGCTCTGTTCTATAAAGCTGCAGAGTCAGAATTGATGACAGTGAGTGCGTAGGTGAAAGCATCTAGAACAATGTACCTGGACACATGATTGACCTCCAATAAATATGTAGTCACTTTTCCCTTAACACCTTTGGCCATTCTGCCTCTTCTGTGCTATGCAATGAAGCATACAAACTTGGGGGTTCTCGGCTTCTGTGTTTTATATGTGTGAAACTCGGGGCCAGTTGCTATACTTCCCTGGCTCCCTAAGATCATGTGTACATCACCCAGCCAGGACATGGCAGAGAGTAATTGCTCAACATACGCCATGTCCTTCCCCCTCCTTCCTAGAAGGGGAGAAAAGTGAGCTTAAAGTTCAACACAAACCCAAGGAGAACACAATTAGAACAAATCTGTGGATTGCCCTACAGTCCTAACCCAGGCCAACGCCAGCCAGAGTCTCTGCTGTGTGCTTTGATTCTCTCCCCAACAGTCTGTGAGAAGGATGCCCTTTCTCTCTACCTGGTGGGGCTATTGTAAATGACAACTGAGAACATAATGACAGAGTGCTGTGAACAAGTAAAAGTGATATTTGGGGAGCATTTTCTACATGCTGGAGTCCCAGGGTGAGGTAAATCATTAATACACTCAAGTGCTAACTGAAAGGTAGATAGTTCTAGTCAAGCAGAGGCACCTCAGAAAGCCTGGCAATCTACTTCTGAAAAATCAGCCATTGAAAACCCTATGAATACATTTCTACTCTGACATACATGAGGTCACCATGAGTTAAAGTTGACTCTACAGCAACTGTTTTTTTTCCCTATGTGCTGGGGTATGGGAGCTGATTCACAAAGAGACAGAAGACATGTTTTCTGCCCTTAGAGAGCTTACAGTGGAAAAAGCCTGGACATGAAAATATAAGCACTAGTTGAAAATAGAAGTACTAATCTAGTGCAAGGTAATCCATAGCAGTGGTATTGAGTGAGGTCCTCAAGACCCTGGTCACAAGAGCCTATTAGACATGTAAGTTCCCCACCCCATCCCAGACTTCCCAAATCAGAATCTTGGGGGGAGAGGGGCCAGCAGTCTGTGTCTCAACTTTGAGAAGCACTGAACTATAACAGTACACAGAGTGAGTGCTCTAGGGAAGAATCAGAGAAGGCCTCACAGAGGGCATGTGACCTGAGCATAGTCTTGAAGGATGGATAGCAGAGGGGAGGCCATTCCCAGTGTGGAAATGCATTTCTCCCATTCTCCTGTCATTGCATTGACTTGCATGTCCACTCCTTCCCACCTTATCTCCCTTAGACTGGGAGAGGCCACAGTGAGTGAAAGAGTTATGTACGTTTGAGCTTATGCATGTTTGTACAGGGGTCAGTGAGAAAACCAATTCTGTTAATGCTGCAGTTTGGTGCTGAGCCTGGATAAGTTTGGGTAAATAAAATAGAGCCAAGCCTTAAATGTCAAGCTAGAAGGTTTGGACTTTGCTCTACAGAGAGAGGGGAAAATTGAATTTATTTGTGCAGGGCAATGACATAAAGAACACAATCTTTGAGGAAGAGACATCTGAATTTTAGAAAGAATGGAGCTGAGAGATGCGAGCAGCCAGAGGCTCTGTCACATTCCAGATGTGAAGCTCTATGACAAGGATGGCATGAGACTGTGATCAGATAGGAAGGAAGATGAGGGTGCAGGGGATACTGCAAGGCAGATGGGCAGGACTTATTAACATTTGTGTGAAGGGTGAGGGAGAAGGTGTCAAATGATGATTTAGAGATTCTGATCTGGGTGCAATGAAGATCATTGGTGGGAACGGGAAAGTTGGCAGGAAAGGATGGTTTATTACTGGCATACAAATACATATTTGTATTTATGATTGCAGTTCATAAAAGACTTTCTCATATATTCTACATATATTTTGTTCTTTACAGCAATTCTTACCATACATATAACTCAAAAACTCATTGTTATCAAGTTAATTCCGAATCATAGTGACCCCCATTGGGTTTCCAAGGCTATGAATCTTTACAGAAGTAGATCGCCCCACCTTCCTTACACAGGGCAGCTGGGTTTGAACCGTTGACCTTGTGGTTAGCATTCAAATGCCTTATCCACTATGCCTCCAGAGCTCCTTGCCATATATATACTAAACCATCCTCTCTTGCCAACTTTCCTGTTCCCACCAATGATCTTCAATCCAGATCAGAATCTCAAAATCATATGAATATATATGGCAAGGAGCTCTGGTGACATAATGGATATATTATATATATATATATATATATATATATATATAATGAGCTTATCATTCACAGCTCTAGCAGAAGAAATGAACTATGAAAGGTTAAACAAGCAGTAGGTGGCAAGGCAGTAAGCTGAGCCCCATCTCATCTTTGTTCTTCCTACTCTACCGTGCGGGAGCTCTGGTAGCATAGTGGCTAAGACACTTGCCTGCTAACCAGACGGAGGGGTCACTATGAGTCGGGTTTGACTTGATGGCACATAACAACAACTCTACTGTGCTACCTATTTGTTGGTTTGTTTGGGGGAGAAGAAGGAATGATTTTATCATTATATCCTTCTTCTATTGTCTCATAACGTCTACTCATTTCTCTCTTACTACTCTTATCGCAACATGTCATAATCGTTTCTGTATTTATTTCCTCATAAAACTTCAAGCTCGAGAATGTCTTGTTATTTTTTTTGCAGTATCTTACTTCTCTTTGTATTCTATTATCTACCATGGTGCCATACTCAGAGTATGCACCTAAAAAATGTTGAGTGAATGAAAAAACAGGCTGTGAGACATCTAAACAGACTGCTGATGGACAGTCATAAATGGACTACTGATGGACAGCCAGAAACACTGGACTGGAGCTCTTGGAGGAAGTATAAGAGTATAAGCATCACTGATAAAACAGGATAATTTAACTGTTAAGATGGAAATCTGGTGATAGTCAATTCAGTTTAACAAATATTTATTGAGTATCTACTGTATAGAGAAGAAAAGAGTCCTTGTTGTTGTGATTAGCTGAAAATCAGTCAAGTCAGACCCGACTCATGGCGAACCCATACACAATGGAATGGAACACTGCCCAGTCCTATGCCATCCCCATGATCAGTGACAGACCAGACTTTTG